GGCAGGGTCTCTCTATATAACTGTGGCTGGCCTGGAACTCACAGAGATCCACTTGCCTCTCTCTGCCTTCCGCTGTGAGCCACCACACCCAGCCCGTCTGGCCTTCTTAGCAATCATTCTGCTTACAGAGTGCATCAGGGTTCCACGGGTATCACACCTTCTACCAATCCTCTGACTCGGCTCTTTAGGAACCATCTGCCCAGAGAGAACAGGCATTTGTGTGCTTCTAGTGTCTGCACACTTGGCGTTTCTGCATTGATAGCGTCTTCAGCTTCAAGTCTGGGATAAAGAAGACAGAAACCCCAAGGCAGGCATAGTGGTTCAGGTATGTAATCCTAGCAACAGGGAGGTAGAAGCAGGAGTTCAAGGACAGCTTCAGCCTCATAGCAGGTTTGCAACTAACCTGCGCTACATGAGACCTTGTCTTTTTAAAATATGCATATTGTGTGTGCATGCGCACATATGAGTGCATACATGTGGAAGACAGAGGTATTGGATCCCCTCGATCTGGAGTTGCAGGTTGTGACCCACCTGACATAGGCGCTAGAACCCAGCTCAGGTCAGCAAGTGTTTTGAGCCGCCTTGCCATATAACCTCGCCAGTCCCTCGTGCTTTGTTTGTTTTTTATTTTATTTTATTTTATTTTATTTTATTTTATTTTCAAGACAGGGTTTCTCTGTAGCTTTGGTGCCTGTCTTGGAACTAGCTCTTATAGACCAGGCTGGCCTCAAACTCACAGAGATCCGCCTGCCTCTGCTCCCAAGTGCTGGAATTAAAGGCGTGCGTCACCACCACCCCAGCTTCATCTTCTTCTTCTTCTAAATTACCTTATTTTAGTAAATTTACAAAACAATGTGTTTCTTTTTGACATGTTTATACACGTCACTGTACTTTGCTCGCATTCTCCCCCACATCACCTCCCTTTTCACACCTCCCACTCCTTTTCTTCCTCGCGCGTGTGTGTACTATGTCCTTCCTCCCAGTTGTTGTAGGTTTTTGTCATATTGCCCCTCCCCTCACTAGCTGCTAGAATACAGCCTGTAGATAATGCTACACTCAGCTATGTATAGTAATTCATTACTGTATACAGCTACAACTCCAGTCCCCGGGCTGTTTGATGATTTCTTTTGATTATGAGACAAGGTCTGTCTGTGTAGCCCAGCCTGAGCTGGAACTGGCAATACTCATGCCTCGGTTCTTGAGTACTTGGATTACAGGCATTCACCTACTGTGGAATCTTAATTTAAGATGTGTTCCATTCATTTCTGCTGTGGGATATTTGTCTAATGATGCGAAGATGTGCTGCATTAGTTTAACTCTGTAAAGATGGGTTACGTTGCCTGCCTAAAACACCTGATTGTTCTGATGAAGAGCTGAATGGCCGATAGCTAGGCAGGAGAGAGAAACAGACGGTTCTGGCAGGCAGAGAGAATAAATAGAAGAGAGAAGAAGAAGGAGCAAGAAAAAGAGGGGGGGGTGCCAGGGGTCAGCCACACAGCCAGCTACAGAGTAAGAAGAAAAGGGAGGTGTCTAGAATAGAGAAAGGTAAAAGCCCTGAGGCAAAAGGTAGATGGAATAATTTAAGAAAATTTAGCTAGAAATAAGCCAAGCTAAGGCCGGACATTCATAAGTAAAAATAAGTCTGTGTATTTATTTATTTGGGAGCTGGGTGGTGGGTTCCCTAAGAGTAAAGAGGGGAAAAAAATTATATGCACCATCACACCTGACTCTGTTTTATTTTTGATCAAACATACAATTAAGTTAAGTTTTCTTCTTCTTTGCTGTTCTGAGTATGCCCGTGACTTTGAGCCAGCCCACTAGGTCCAGCTTGCAATTTATTGCAGAAGCTTTTCACAGCCAGACTGTCTAAGTTTTCAGTTACTTAATGCTACCCAGTCATTTTAAAAAAAAAAAAATCTGTCTTTTATTCTCTTGTTTTCAAATAAATTTTGATTAGTGGTCTCTCCACCACAAGATGGTGCCCCAGAGTAGTTGAAGCTATGGTTTTTCTCTTCTTCCTTATTAATTTCTACCTTAGTGAACTTGGGCTGTTCATCTGAGTCAGGGCATGTCTGTGAAAACTCGGTTGTGTTTTTCTTTAGACCAGGTTTCCTAGCTGCATGGGAAGTTGAAAAACTAGAATCAAGCAGTGTGGGCTTCTGCTGTTGGTTGTGGTGCTGAGTACTCAAAGACGGGGTTCGTGGTGTCCGCAGGTGTCCCACCACAAAAGCCAGCAGGGCCCCGTGTCAGGACTGAGACAGGCTGTCCCTGTCTTGATCAGACTGGCTGGCCTGGAATGTGACAGCCTCCTGCCTCGGTGTCTGAAATGCTGGGGATTATGGGTATGCAGCACCATTCTTGGCTTCAACGTGTGCTTTAGCTTTTTAAACATATTTTTTGTAATAACTTTATGGTAGTTCTTATGCAAGCTTTTAAAGTAGTTGTCATTCCTATTCATGGGTCCAATTTCCACTTTGAATCTATGTTTATAGAAAATAATCTGTAATTTAAGCATAGTTTTAAAGAAATGGAGGACCCCAGAGATGCCTCCTGCACCTAATAACCCGAGGTCAGTCCCTGGAACTCACATGGTGGAGAAGAGAATCACTTCTTGCAAGTTGTCCTCTGATCTTTGCTCGCTCTCTCTCTCTCTCTCTCTCTCTCTCTCTCACACACACACACACACACACACACACACACTCACGGAATAAGTATATTCTGAAAGAAAAGCACTTTTACTGTCTTTTGAGATATCTGAATTCCTGAGTCATAAGGTTTTGTTTGTGTTCCTCCCTACTGTTATTGTTTGTTTTGTGATATCACAACAGGTCTTTCTGTATCGCCCAAGCTGGCCTGAAACCTACATAGTCCATTCTGGACTTGAACTGCCTTGGTCTGCTGAGCACTGGGACGACAGGCATGGACTGGCCTGCCTGGTTCCCAATGTGGAGTGTGTTCTTCAGCTAATCAAAACATGTTTACTAACCATCACGTGTGTACACAGTCAGAACTGTTATCTTCCTAGGCTTGATAGGCAAGTAAGACCAAGTATTGTTAATGTCTCACTAAAACAGTTTGTCTTTAATTTTTTGTACACGGTGATAATCCCCGTATGCTTTCCACATGGAGAAAGCTAAGAAATAACTATTGAGTAAGCACAGAAGTCACTACCATAATTTTGAAACAAAAAAAATTGTATTTAAAGGATTTTTATTATTATTACTCGTCAGGGATTTGCCACAGCTGACATGTGGAAATCAGAAGACAGCTTTGCGGGACTGGTCCTCTCCCTCCACCCTTATGTGGGATCCGGGATTGAGCGCCAGACTTGATGGTGAACACGTTACCCTCTGAGTCATCCTGGTAGCCCACAGAAGGCTACATTTTACCAGTTAAAATCTTTCAGTTAGGATCTCCACTCCAGTTCTGGCTTTCTTCTTTTCTTGTTTGTTAACTCAGTCAGTGGACAAGTGTCCATTTGTTTTTATTCTGGAACTGGGAGTTAGGGGGCAATGAAACCAACTACTTTAAAATCACATTGCAGTGGAGCGGGGTGAGCAGAAATGCAGGGTAAGCATCAGATACACAGCTTAGACAGTGTTGGAACTGCCGCAGTCCAGGGAGCTTTGGTGCTGTGTAGAAACAGCGCCCCAAACACCCTTTCCGGTCTTGTTATGTTTGGGAGTTTTGTTTTAGACAGGATCTTGCCCTGTAGCCCAGGCTGACCTCAAACTGGTGATCGTCCTGTCTCAGACTCTAGAGTGTTGGGATTATAGGCAGGTGCTACCATACTCAGCTAAACCCCACCTCAGTGATCCCAGCTCAATCCCCAGAACCCACATAATAGTAGGGGAGGACCAACCCCACAAAGTTGAACTCTGACCTCCACACATGTACTGTGGCAAATCCCCCACCCCTAATAATAAGAAGAATTCTTTTTAAAATTGTTAAAAATAATTCCGGGCAGTGGTGGCAGACGCCTTTAATCCCAGCACTCAGGAGTCAGAGGCTGGCAAATCTCTGAGTTTGAGAATAGCCTGGTCTACAGAGTGTGTTTCAGGACAACCAAGGCTACACAGAGAAACCTGTCTTAAAAACCCAAAACAAACCAATTTTAAAATATATATACGGCTATAGATGGAGACTGCTTGTTTCCTGCTGCCCAGACCCAAAATAGTCACACGGAAACTATATTCATTGCCACACTGCTTGACCTATTAGTTTAAGCTTCTTATTAACTAACTCTTACATCTTAAATGAACCCATTTCTATTATTTTGTATTTTACCACAAGTCTCCTCCTGGTTTACTGGTAAGGTTCCAGGGCATGTCTGTCTCCTTCGGCCACTACATTTCCCTGACTCTGCCTTCTTTTCTCCTCTATCTCTGCTTGAAATTCCCACCTTGCTCTATTCTGCATTGCAATAGGCCCAAAGCAGATTCTTTATTAACCAATGGTAATAAAACATATTCACAGCATACAGAAGAGAATCCCACATTGCATGGCTTTTTCTTTCTTTCTTTCTTTCTTTCTTTCTTTCTTTCTTTCTTTTTTTTTTTTTTTTTGCTTGCTCACTTCAAAATTGTGTTAGTGACTTTTGAATCCCGTCACTATCTCAGGGAGCTAAGAGGGTTCAGTTTAAAAACAGCTTCATTAGTCTGCCTTTAGACACCCACACCTGGAACCAGGTAGCCTGAGACCTGGGCAGGGGCTAAGCATCCATTTATAAATTGGCCATGGTGGTGTGTGCCTATAATCCCAGAACTCAGTAAGTGGAGGTGTGGAGGTCAAATGTTCAAGGTCACCCTTGACTTGAGAGCTCTTGTTAACCAAGCAACAAGAAAGAAGGCATTAATTTATACTTCTCCTCAGGCTATGAAAGATGGAAAATTATTAAGAGCTATTCTCTTCCTGCTCAGAACTCTGAGATTCTCCTGACGGAACCAGCTGGAAGAATCTGGCCAGTTGTTTGATCTCATTTGTTTGGTTCTGTTTTCTAGCTCCTGTACATAGTTTCTCAACTAGCCCAGCAGAATCTGCAGTTGCTGGTCCTGGGCCGGAAGCACATGCTAATCCCGAGTTCCAGGTGGAGAAAGGACGAGATGGAGTGGGTGCGAAAGCTGGCCCACTGCTTTTTTGCTGATGACATGTAAGTATTGGAGGGAGCAGGGCAATCAGACTGGGTTCCAGTCGTCTACTTATCCGTTATCTGTTCTGTCGTGGAGACAGAACGCTTGCCTGTGTGTATGCAACCTCATTTAAAACAAAACAAAAAGGTAGCTTACAAAAATATAGTGTCTACGGTGGAGCAAACTTTTATAGATGAGAAAAATCAGCATAAACGAGAAAAGGAGGAAAGTCAGTCAGGAGTGAGGCTAGCACTTGGAATGCACACCATAAAATCCTAAATTGGTCATCGAACAGACGCTTGGCAAATATGAACATGGCGTTTGTTCTTAGTGATGCGTCAAAGCCCCTGCCCTTTCAGTCCTTACAGAAACAAGCCACTAGTGGCCCCGTTGCAGCCAGGGATCCGCACTGTGGGAAGCGGGAGCGGTGGGAAGGGCTCCTCAACTCACAGTGCTCCTGCCTCAGACAGGGACAGCAGACATCCAGAGGTCCTGGCACAGGAAAGGGCTGGGCACTGGCAAAGTAAGGCGGCCAGCATGGACAGGTTAGAGCAGCACCCGGAAAGTCAGCTTTGGGGACTGCGGATGCAGTTCAGTTGGTAGAAAACTTGCCTGGCATGCAGGAAGCTCTGCATTCCATCCCCAGCCCCACAGGAAACCAGTTGTGGTGGTTCCGCTCAACTCAGCCCTCTGCTGACCTCAGCCCACTGAGGAAGATCAGGAGTTCAAGGTCATCCTCTGCTGTACAGAAGCTGTCCTCGGGTATGGGAGACCCTGTCTAGAAAGGGAGGGGAGGAAGGGGGAAGGGAACACAAGGTTCGAAGTCAGAGAGAAGGAAAGACCATATTATGGAGGACCTCACAAAAGGCCTGGATTTATTCCAGTAGAGAGAAAATTGCTGCTGAGCCACAGCTTCCCCGGACGCCAAATGAACATGGAAAACACGATCAGCGACACAATGTGCAGTTCATAAACAGAAAGCAGCCATGCGGAAGATGGGAGATCCTGGGCCGCACGTCCAGACTCTCTTTGTGCGCACAGGTTTTCCTACTACTGATGATGATGGCACACGTCTGTCTGCAGCCTTACCAGGCTGTCACTTCGCCGCGTGTGCCTCAGCCCTAAGTCTAGGACTCATAAGTTCAGAAGTGAGAAACTCAGGGTTTGTCAGGATCCCACAAAGAATTTATTCTTAGAAGGGTAAAATGGCTCCTGAGGCATGAAACAGGAGGCCAACTCCTCACTCCAGTCACAAACCAAAGCCGAGAAGAGGAATTTCTGTTGCTTCAGAAGCAGCAGCCTTGACCCTCTTGGTGTCGCTCCTGCAGCGTTGGTAAGCGTTAGGAGTGTGGGCTTGTTTCAGATCACAGACCTGCCATTTCCCACCTGGGGAGGTATTTACTCCGCACATAGTCTCCACGAGGCTGCTGTGGAGGGCAGTGGTTATCACACGTCAGACCTGGCACCGCGTTCATGGAAAGCCTGTATGTTCATCACTGTCATCACTGTTATTTTTCTTCGAGAAAAACTGGATAAGTCATGTGCTACACCCCAAAAGTCTCTTGGGAATTGGTCTTGCTGCCTACTTTGGGGCCTGTACGTCTGTACTTATTGCGTCTGCTGGAGTTCTAAGCTCTGTTATAAAGATTGATTCGCTAGTGTCCTGTGTCTCTGGATTTAAATCTTTTACGTTCAATGTTAACATTATTGTACCAAGCAAACTTTCTCAAACACAAAGCAGAGAGCAGTGTAGTGAATCCTTGTAACCCCACGTAGGCGTGACCCTGCTCTAATGTTCCTCGTCTTCTTCCATATAAACTCCAGTGGGTTTTGGGTTTTGTTTTTTAAGAAGGTGAAGACTCTATAGCCCAGGGCATTAGCAATCCCTGCCCCTCAACTTTTTGTTGTGTTTTAGAGGCTGTCAGCAGCTAAGGACTCCGGATGCTTTATGAGGGTCTCTCTGAGCACTTCTGTTGAGAACTCATTGATGCCTTCTAGAAAGTCAGAATATAAGTTAATGGGTGGTGGAAAAGCCTCTGCCCCTGGAGCGTCTGACTCTGTCCATCCTTCTGTCTGCCGCAGCTCGGAGGATGACCCGTTCCTGCTCTACGCCACCCTGAACTCAGGCAATCACTGCAAGTTCATCACCAAAGACCTGATGCGGGACCACAAGGCCTGCCTGTCTGATGTGCACGCCCAGCACCTTTTCTTTAAGTGGCAGCAGGGACATCAGTTGGCAATCAGGATCAATTTTCAAAAATCAAAGCTAACTTTCCAGGTATGGGATCTGCTCTCTAAGTGACGCTGACGACCTCGTCTAAAGAATGAGTATGGCCCAGTTTTTAAAATGCTGAAAGTTCTAAATACTTGGTTTTGGTTTCGGTTTGGTGGGTGGTAGTTAGCCCGTCCCTAGAAAGAGCATCTGTCAGGGTGAAAGTATTCACAGGCCAACCCCAAACTGACTGACATATTAAAACATCTGGAGTACTGTGGCTGTGCCTGAAACTGTGCCTCACCTATAACTGTGGCGAGACCCAAGTGTTTCCATCGTCCTGTTTAGGTGGAATGGCTTGTCGCTTCTTATCCTTTCAGACTTTCCTTTTAGGCAGCTTTTCCTATTTTTTAATTTAAATTACGTTTGTGTTGTTAATTGTGTGTGTACATATGTGAGTGTGTGCATGTGTGAGTGCGTGCATGTGTGTGTGTGTGTGTGTGTGTGTGTGTGTGTGTGTGTACCATGCCCCGGCTCATGGACAGCTGTCAGAAGACAACTTGCAGGAGTCAGTTCTCCTTCTACCATGTGTATCCCAGGCGTGGCCCCAAGCCCTTTGACCCTATGAGCCATCTCTCCAGACCTAGACTATTTTATTTAGAGGCAGGGTCCCATTGACACAAAAACACAACTCTCACCTCAAAGAGAATAAAGACATAGTTTATTTGGGGGCCAAATATGAATGACCATGGCCTCAGAACACAGACTTAGTTATCTTAAGTTTTGTTTTAACATGGTAACAGTTTATCAAGTTTTATTGTAACAGAACAACAGAAAAATCAGAAATCAAAACACTTTTCAAACACCTTGGTAGGAACATTGGGGGGCGGGTTATAGAAAGCAGGGTACCTCGACTGTTATCTAACAGCCTTTCAACCTTTTGGTTGGTGGAAGCTGGGCATCTGTTTATCCTTTCTGTGACAAAGATATTAGCTAGCATTCAGAGGATGGTGACTACGAGGGGTGAAGGTGGCCCAGCAATCTGTAGTTATAGCTCCTTTCTGGGCATCTTGCTCACGGTCTGCTTACTGTGTAGCCCTGGCTCACTGCCATGTAGACCAGGCTAGCCTGAAACATGTCAGTCATCCTATCTCAGCGTCCCCTGTCAGACTTCAGGTCACTCTTCCGAGTGACGTACGTTGTCGGTCCCCAGTGGGCTCTCCTTTGACTCCAGTGCAGATGCCCATAGCCCAGGATGCCACGTATTAAAACAGAGGAAGGAAAACCCAAAGGAAAATTATTACAGGATAGCATAAAGGCCTATACGCAGGGGAGGGGAGATACGATGTTGGTCCAGTATACCAAGCTTCGGTTAGTGGGAAAAGGTTCAAGAGATCTATTGTACGATGTACTGTGGCTGGAGTTAATAACAATTTATTGTATTTTGTGTGTGTGAGTATGCGTGTGTGTGTGTATGTGTGTGTGTGAGTATGTGTGTGTGTGTGTGAGTATGTGTGTGTGTGTGAGTATGCGTGTGTGTGAGTATGCGTGTATGTGTGTGATTATGCGTGTGTGTGTGAGTATGCGTGTGTGTGGTATTAGAGACTGAACTCAAAGCTTTGCACATACTAGTCCTCTACCACTAAACTGCATCCCCAGCCCAGTTTTTACTTTTTATTTTGGGGCAGGCTAGCCCTGAACACACTGAACACAGACCTTGACCTCATAGTCCTCCTGTTTTACTCGCCAGGCCCAGCTAATGTGCTGTGTTCTTTTCACATTTTTCATCATGTGTTTGTGTCTCTGTGAGTGTGTGAACATCAGTGCTGGTGCCCAGGGAGGCAAGAGGGTATTGGATCCCTGGAGCTGGAATTACAGGCAGCTGTGAGCCACCCAGTGTGTGTCCTGGAAACCAAACTCTGGTCCTCTGCTCGAGCAGTACCCCAAGCCATCTTTCCAGCCCATGCGTCGTATTCCTGAAGATGCCAAGAGAGTAGATTCTAAGTTTTCTCATTAGAAGAATGAAAGTTTGTAACTCATATTAAATAGCTTGAGTAGCCATTCCACAGTGTCTGTATATTTCCAAATATGTTGCACACACAGTGCTATAAATAAGTTTATTAGTTTTAAAAAAAATAATCTAAAGTGCAAAGCAAATTTATAGGGAAGAGTATCCCGTGGTATTACAGCAATTATTAAATCAGCACAATCAGGATTATATATTGTATTATAGGAAATGATTCAAAATGACTGACATGGAAACTACAGCAAAAAAAGGAAAACTTGAAGTTCAGTGAAAACAGAGATGGGAAGGGAAGCTCTAGATTAAAGGATATTATGAATGGTCCAGTCTCGCAGAAAGCCATGTTTAACTATGAAATATATGTTACACGTATGCAGTAATGGGGAAAATACAAACAGTAGAACTTTGATGAGGCTGAGGAATTGTTGATTAGTCTGATAATGTATTGGATGCATACGTACATATATGTATTTTAACCAGACAAGCTGTCTGATCGGAAACTCTCTAAGTGGCCCAGGCTGGCCTCAAAACCCTCCTGTCTCAGTCTCCTGTGCCTGGTTACTGGGTACTCTGCCACCATTGCTGCCTGATGTCTGTGTTGGGGAAACTAGCAATAACGTTGATCTTAGAGTTACAAAATAAATACCATATTTTACAAGTGCACAGCTGAGATTCACTTCAAGATAATCTTGAGAGAGAGCTATTTCTCTGCTCTTTGTATTTAATTTTTCTCTTTTTCACTTATAAAACCCATAAGCACAATGAAACAAGCCTATAACTTATAAATATGACACTCATATAGAGTGCCCTTCACCTTCAAATGAAACTCCCCTTTTACATTATTTGGTTTGCTGTTGTGGGGGCTGGAGAGGTTGCTCAGTGGTTAGTGCTCGCTGAGTTCCGATCCCTGCACCCACATCACAAACTGTGTTCTTGCACATGGCGATAGCCTGGTAGTGTGTGAGTAGAGACATGGAGAGTGCTTGGGCTTGCTAGCTCCAACCTAGCAAAAACACAAACAAACAGGCCAGCACCTCCAGGTCCAGGCAGAGACCCTGCGTCAAAGGGATAATATGGGAAGTGGTAGAAGCCACCTCTGGCTTCTCTGCATGCACAGACATGTGCATTGGTACATACATGTGCATTCACCACACCCACAGATACACAAAGGAAGGAAGGGAATCCAGTGTTAAATAAAGCATGGTATTCTTCCAAAGTTGAGAAGATTGAGGGGCGTCGGTACCCCGTCACTGTTCTTCTCACCATTTGGCTTTAATTCACCAGCACACTCTCAGCTACGACACGGTGGTGCAGACAACTGGAGACTCCTGGCACATACCTTACGATGAAGACCTGGTGCAAAGATCCTCCTACGAAGTGCCAACCAAGTGGCTTTGCCTCCAGCGAAAGACACAGGCACCGGCCGGGTCCTGAATTTGCCCTGGACACCTCCTGGCTGGTAGCAGAGCTCACATCTATGCTATTTCCAGGCATGACCTCTGTCCTGAAAATAAAAAGATTTTAGGAGCACTGTTTGATTTAGTTGGTGTGCAGTAACAAATCGATTTTTAGCTTTGTTTGGTTTGGGTTATGGTCCAGTTCTTGTTCTGCCTCCGTCCTCCCACTCCACGTCCCTGAGTGCTGAGATTCCAGGAGCGGCCACCATGCCTGCCGTGCGCAGTGCAGGAGGTGAGACATGGGCCTTCACGTATTCCTGGCAAGCACTCTGCCAGCTGGGCTACGTGCAGCCCTAGCCCAACAAACTGACTTTTGAGGTAAATGAAAAAAAAATAACATCTTCTCTTAACTAGCTGCACCACCACTTTTGTTTCTAGAGGTTTCTCCAGAACCGTGGGTCCTAGGGCGGAGTCTCGGTGCTTGTTCCTCCTGCCAGGCAGCTCTCCATAGCCGCTCCTGCTGACTTGACCTTCCAGGCTTCCCCATTGGTCCCTCTTTGTTTTCTACTGTAATTACAGCCCTTTCAAGTTAATCATGGTATCGGTGTGATATAGTGTAATTATAAACTTTTCCAGGTTGATCATGGTATTGGTTGTGATACAGTATTCCAAGATGACATTCCAAAAATAGTCCAAAACTTATTTGACAAAGTTTTAGAAATAAAAACTGGCTTTCTGGAAAGAATAATAGGATTTTGAGCTGACAAGACGGCTGAGTGGATAAAGGCGCATACTACCAAGTCTGACCTGAGTTTGATCCCACAGGACCCACACTAAACACATAAGTTGTCTTTAGACTTCTACAAAAGTGCCCGACACACATATTATAAATGAAATGTAAAATTAAATAATTTTTAAAATGAATTTTGAAATGATTATAAATAGAGAGCCCCAGACAATGCAGAGGATCTTGTTCTCTAGATCCCTGAACTGTTCACTGTCTCCAAGCTGTGCTCTGGGTTCTATTTTTTTACATTTAATTTTGAGACAAGGTCTCAGTGAGTTAACCAGGGTGTCTTTGAATGTATCATAGCCCAGGCAGGTCTGGAACTTAGGATACTTTCTGCTTTAGACTCCCAAGTATCTGGAGGCCTATAACATCGTTTATGGCTTATTTTTAAAGAAATTGTTCTGGTTACAAGAAAAAAAATTTCCATTTTTTTCAAGACAGGGTTTCTCTATATAACAGCTCTGACTGTCCTGGAACTCACTCTGTACACCAGGCTGGCCTTGAACTCACAGATCAGCCTGCCTCTGCCTCCCAAGTACTGGGACTAAAGGTGTGCACCACCATACCTGTGTGAAGGGTTTTTGGTGGTGGTTGTGGGAGTTGTAGGGGAGGGTACTGAGGAGGGCCTTGCATTCTATCACTCTCTGACCAGGAACTTGCAGCCATCCATCTGCCTGAACTCCAATTGCAGGCATGAGCCTCCATGCTTTCTTAGATTGAATTATTAAAGTCGCCATGACAGGGGCTGGGGAAATGGCTCAGTGGTAAAGTGCTATCCAAGGGTGATCCCAGCACCCACATAGAAAAGCCAAGCTTGTGGAGGGAGGGGACAAGACCGGCTGAGCTTTAAGCCATCAGAAGAGCCTGTCTGAAAAATCAAGGCAGGATGGCTTCTGAGGAACAGCACTGGGATTGTCTCCTGGCCCACACATGTGCACACAAAGCGTAACTGTGAGCATTTGTGTTAAATTGTAACATCCGAGAGATGCAGTAACTAGCAAGAGAAGGTCTTAAACGGGAATGCCAGTCATCTATCTCTTTGGCACCACTTAAAATCTAATCCAAGAAGCAGCTGCCTGAGAAGCCACTGGTAGCAACTTTAATCTCGAATAATTAGAGAGATAACTTCAAGGTCAGGTCAGACAGCCTGACCACTCCTACCCGAGCAGAACATTACTGGGGTTCAAGTTCAGCTCCCATCTAAATATTCAGTCATTACAAAAGAAGGTCTCTTGGGTTGTCTATGACTGCGTAAGAATAGAATGCCTGTGTCCACTAGGTGCCGTTGGAATCCCTGACAGTTCTGTCCATTTGGCTTTTCTGGGGCAGAGAGGAGCCCTGGCCTGGGGGATGGGACAGAACATCTATCCCCAGGAAACAGCTTCTTTTGGTGGTGGATATGGCCAGTCTCCGAAAAAGTGAGTTCTTTGTGGCACTTGTTGCTTAAAATCTGTGTAAGTGGACCTTTGCAAATAAATAAGTCCTTCTTGGGTTGCCTTCCTCTTTAGTGACCGTGCCCTAGAATTCACGGTTCCCTTTCTTTTTGAGACAGGGGGGTCTCATTCTGTAGTCCAGAACTCACTATGTACACCAAGCTAGCATACGTGTTTGCCCGGTTGTATGTACATATGTGCCCATTTTCCTTGTTCCAACGGTCCTTCGGGATGTTTCCTTCATACACATTATTATATTACTTATAACAATGTAAATTCATAGAAAGCGTCAACTGAGAGTCAGATGTGGTTGTTCCTCTACCCCTCGCTCTTGGAGCTGGTCTGGGAAGGAGACTCAGGAATTCAGGGTCATCTTTAGCTACTGAGCTAGTTCGAGGCCAGCCTGAGAGCTACATGAGACCCTGTCTCAAAACTAACAAACAAATAAGACTTTGACTGACTTAAGCTAGGACATTCTGTATCGTGCAACACTCTTCTGTGGTTACATTGTCGAGCTCCTACTCAGGGCTTGGGCGTGTTCAGGAGAAACCGTTGCCAGAGCTGTCTCTGGTAAAAGGCTGTGTCCTTTGGCGCTTGTTCCAGCGGGAGTGGTCACATCCTTGAGGCGCGTCCTTTCCTTGTCAGGTCCTCTGACCTCCAGCTTCTGGAGAAAACTCTGGCCGGGCGTGTTTGTGAGGAGGACTTGTGAAGAACATAAAGAGCCTTTTGTTTTTCAGAGCAAATCATGTGGTTTTTTGTTGCTATTAATCCAAGCACAAAGGGAAGTTTATGTGAGAAAATCATTATTGAACATTTTGTGCTTTGCAAATGTCAATAGAGTATTTTTTTTTTTCCATTTCCAGAATCACCAGAGTCTTCACCTCTCACACTGGTGATTTTTGGCCCTCTCTATAATGGCCCCTCTCTTTTTCCATCCGTCTTTGGCTTTTGTTTTTTTGAGCAGGATTCCATTGTATTACAGCTCTGGGGGGCAGTTAGGAGCCGAGAAATACCTCGGAGTCACACTGTACAACAAACCTCACACAAGAGATGTGTGGGTGGGAAGAACCGAGGAGGGTGGCTGCCTCTTCTCAGTTCGTGCAGCAGCAGAGAACTGAGCAGAAGTCAGGGTTTGTATAGGGTTTGAGGGGAAGGGCTCCCAAGGTGCGGATTGGTGGGATTTCAAGTTCAGAGTTTGGACTCTCTACTGTGTAGGTTGAGGGCTGGGTCCGGCTATTAGGGCAGTTAGAGTGTTCTGTAGGTAGAGCCTGGTTGTTGGTGGTACTCAGGGGAGTGGTTTGGTTATTTTGAGAGAGAGAGGGAGAGAGAGAGAGAGAGAGAGAGAGAGAGAGAGAGAGAGAGAGAGAGAGAGAGAGAGAGAGAGAGATACTGTATGTCAGAGGCCAGAGGAGAGCTTTGGATCCTTTGGAGCAAAAGTTACACACAGTTGTAAGCAGCCCAGCATGGGTGCTGAGAACTTGCAGCTTAGTTCTTCTGGAAGACTAACAAATGTTCATAACTACCAAGCCACCTCTCCAGCTCCCATATCTTTTTGTTTGTTTACTTCAAACAACCCTGGTTTCAGGATCTCAAACTTTCCTATTTATTTATTTACTTGTTTTGCCCACACTTGCACAATGACACGCTGTAAGTGTTGCAGTTCTGCAAACCTCACACAAGAGGTTGACTGAGAAGGAAAACCCCCAGGTGGTGGCTGCCTCTGCTCAGCCAAGGAATGTCAGAGAACTGAGCAGAATGCAGGTTTATATAGGACTTCTTGGGGGGGGGGTGGAGTTTTCCAGGGTGGCCTGGGATTGGTGAGATTTTGTGGCCTGACCTTGGGGCAAGCTCAGGGATTGGTAGAATTCTGGCTCTGCTCTTGGACTTGGGGTCCAGTGGGGGTCTGAGTGTTCTTTCCCTGGCCCTTTATCCTACACGTGCCGCAGCACGTATGGAAGACAGTCTAACTTTTGGAAGGAGTTGGTCTCGGGGACTGAGTGTAGGTCATCAGTCTTTACCTCCTGAGCCATCTCACCAGGATTTAAAAGATTTCTGTTTTACATTTATTTTGTGTGTGTGTGTGCTGCACACACGAGGAGGTCAGAGGATGACTTTCAGGAGTTAGTTCTGTCCTTCCTTCCTGTGGGTCCAGGAACTGAACGAGGGCGGTCAGGCTTGACATCCGGCACCTTTACGGACTGAACCATTTCACTAACCCAGGATTTCAAACTTTTAAGTTCATCCCTGGAACCACAGCCTCGTTACCTGTTTTACTCCCTCACCACAACTACCAGCTCTTGGCCAGTTTTCTTTCTTTTTTTTTTTTTTTTTTTTGGTTTTTCGAGACAGGGTTTCTCTGTGGCTTTGGAGCCTGTCCTGGAACTAGCTCTGTAGACCAGGCTGGTCTCGAACTCACAGAGATCCGCCTGCCTCTGCCTCCCGAGCGCTGGGATTAAAGGCGTGCGCCACCACCGCCCAGCTTCTTGACCAGTTTTCTTAAGGCTTATTTTATTTGTATATGATTTTCCGTCTGTGTGCGTGTGTAGGTGCTCTCAGAAGATCGCCGGAGCTGGACTTACAGGCTGTTGTGAGCAGCCAGCGTGGGTGCTGGGAACTAAGCTGCTTCCCCGGGTAGAACAAGGAACGCTTTTAACCACCTCCTGACCTTGACCAAATCTTCAGCCTAGTCTCTCTAACCTTGTAAATTTCTTCTGCCAACCCACTTCTGGGGGTCACCTGATCGCCCCACCCTCTCAAATCCCAGCAGGGTCTTTCATTCACTTCACCTGTAGAGTGTCTTTTCAATTCCAGGCCTGATTTCCAGTAGCCAAATTTCAGTTCCTTCACTACTGTTTACCATACCGGTAGTATTGCTGGGAAGGCCGTGAGCTGGTGGTGTCAGACACC